CCAAATGACCCCAGAGGTGGAGTTTTCTTTGCTAAATCTCTCTAAAAAGGTCAAATGTCACTTGTTTGGCATCAATCTTGATACCAGGTACTTATTATATGTTGTACTTTGGATTCCTAAAGCTTTTAGTCTACTAACCCATCATCCAAGGGTCGTTTTCACTATAAGTAAAACATATTTTTTGGACGGACACTATAATTTACATTTTTTTACTATGTTCAATCTGAATTTACTTTAAAATAAAAAACATCTATATTGATTCTGACTTTTCTACATCCAACTCACAGGTTTATCATTGCTTTGAGAAAAAAGATTATTAATTTACCCCTTTTAGAAGGGAAGTTATTGTCATTTTTTGTGGAAATTTCATTTTCGAGACCTGAAAAACAGGCTTGGGGCCTAACAGGTTAAAAAGTTCTAAGTTATGATATAATACAAAATATAATACTTTTTTTTTCAATATCTAGACCAGGGGTGGGGAACCTTTTTCCTCTCAAGGGCCATTTCAATTTTGTCAACATCCTCCGAGGGCCGTACAGATTATTGACCTCTGCTTAAAAAATTAAAACCACAGCCCATTCATTTGGCCTTTCTTTCATGCTCTGCAAAGAAAAAGCAACCTCTTAATCCAGATATCTCACCATGACTCGCGCATGCATTCACGTGCACGGTGTGGCATGACCACCAAAACAGAAAGATATGGACACAAGATGTGTGCAAAATTATTTAGTTTCCTATCCATGTGAACATGATTTAAGTGGGAGGGGGACCCAACCTCCTCTAGGGGGGTCCGGGGGCATGCTCCCCCGGGGAGATATTTTTTTTTTAATGTTGAAGTTAAAAGCATCAATCTGGTGCACTGAGAGCAACATTAGGAGATCTATGGAAACATCTCTCAACATCCATATGAAACAGAACTGTAAGCAGATTTTCTTTATGAATATTTTACAAATCACTGCTCTGTCAAACTGTATTCTTTATTTTACTGTCATATAGTATTTTATACCTGTTTACTTTATTCTCTTATTTTTTGATAACTATAATGATCATATAAAGATGTGCCTTTACCTCACTGGTTGGAGAAAAAGCTTCTTATATTCGTTAGCATAGCTAGCTAACCAGATGCTAATAACAACAAAGTTATTGACTGTATGATCAGTATGACAGATGAGCAGATCTCCACTGGGCTTTCAGCTAAAGACACAGCCACGCAGAAACTGCGGCATGTGTACGGCTCCTTATGGGTACGCCGGAGCCGCATTCTGGTGCTCTCCGTCAGAACTGCACCCCTGTCAGACGAGACATATACCATGTGATGACACGTTAGGCTCGTGTTGTGTTCAAGGACCCTGACCTTGGCCAGGAAAAACAGGCACTCGTTTGTTTGTTTTTTGTGAATGAAAGTAGGCCAAGTTGATAATAAGAGCTCATTGTAGGCTACATTTAAAGTTGAATTTACCTGTGTTTGATTGGTAAGATGGATGAAATTGTATCACCAGTCCATTTGTATGATTACTTTTCCTTTTATTAACATGTTAAAAAAAAATCAATCAATTCAATCGAAATTTATATTAAAAGTATTTGAAAAACTAAACTTGTATTTGGTTTGTTATTTATTGTTTAAAGTTACCTTAAGATTTTTTGTAGGTATGCCCAGGTTTGAACAGGTATGCCCAAGTTTGAACAGTGGATCAATTTACCCCCCTGACCTGGATCAACCTACCCCTAACCCGGGGCAAGTTGAGCCACAAGACTTTTTTTTAGAAGTCATATTTTCACTGCTCTTGATCAAATATTAATTCTTATCATTGCCATTGATAGGAGACATCCTGAATTATAGGTGTGTGCTTTCATTTTTACTATGTGTCATTTCTCCTTGCTTAGAGGACAGCATAACTAAAAAATGGCTCAATTTACCCCACTCTCCCCTACGATAAAACTGATCTGAGACACTGACAGATTAGACCAGGGGTCGGCAACCCCTGGCACGCGTGCCAGCATTGGCACGCGGCACCGTAGCCAGTGGCACACTAGGAATAAGTCGAATAAGTGTGCAAAATATTTAAATTGTATTTTCGGATCCTGAACGAGACCGCCGCCAGAGCGCGTCTCCCCGTTACCTGCAGAAGGAAGCCATGCACGCAACGCAGCCCCGCTCTCTTTAACTCCAGGTGACTTTCTGCCGCTTTCCTCCGTGGTGCAGTGCTGATCGTTTCACCACGGAAGAAAGCACTTCACAAATTGCAGTACCCATAAGGAGCTTTACAAATGTCGCAGTTTTTGCGTGGCTGTGTGTGTCTTTAGTTGAAAGCCCAGTGGCGATCTGCTCATCTCTCATTGAAATAATATGCTACAAAGGGGCGGACTGGCCATCTGTGTGTTGAACTTTCCTGTCGGCTCCCAGACCGTAGTCGAGGAGGGCAGAAGCAACGAGCTTCAGGTTCAATAACCCACTTTAGCTTAAATGACTGGAGAGAGGCGAGCTCTTCTTGGAAGGCCGTTGCATTTATTTAGCTGTTCTTCTGTTTCACAAAATACTTCACAGACCTCTGCTTTTCTGCTGCCTCGTTTCACTTCCAGAAACATACACACACGCACACGCCAAACCCCTCTCTCTCTCTCTTAAAGGGACAGCGATCTCATCTCACTCTGCATGACCCTAATATCATAACATGTGTGTTCTGGAGAATCACAGAACGGACGATCGTCCTCGCCCCCCCCCGCCCTCCTGTTGATAGATCACGAGCGTCAAGCCCCCCAACATCCCCAACACCCCCCCCCCCCCCCCCGTTGATAATTCTCGATCGTTGGCACGCTGATAATTTCTTTTTTTTTAAATGGCACTTCATATCAAAAAGGTTGCCGACCCCTGGATTAGACTATAAAAACCAACCCAGTCTCACGGCATTTCGTGTTATAGTCTCGAAATAAATGTAATCTATTGATTCGTGTTCACCAACACGATTTTCACCTTTTTTTCGTGTCACACAGAACGATTTTAAAAGCAATGTATTTCTATTGGTAGTATGTTTCGTGCCTGCACCACGTCTTTTTATCCAGTCGGGTCTTGGAATACCAGAAGCTGTGGGGTTCATAAAAACATGTTCTTACTCAATATCTTACCCTGAGCCTAACCCTTTTATTTTAAATTGTATAATGTCGGAGTTTTTTTGCCATCCACGAGGAAAATAAATGGCTCAGAGCCTCAGTATACTGACATCTGTATTTTTTGTCATCTTTTTTTCCTTCTAATTTGTTATTATTTGGTGCAGGCACGAAACATACTACCAATAGAAATACAATGCTTCTAAAATCGTTCTGTGTCAGAATACTGAAATCTGTATTTTTTTTAAATCTGTTTTTCCTTCCAATTTGTTATTATTTACATTGCTTTTAAAATCGTTCTGTGTGACACGAAAAAAATTGCGAATCGTGTTGGTGAACACGAATCAATAGATTAATTTCGTGACTATAACACGAAATTCCGTGAGACTATGTTGACTGAGCATGCTTTGCTCATTATAAGGATGTTTGACACCTATAAGGTGGTAGTACTACAAGAAAAGGGTGTCATTCTCCCTTTATTCATAGTTTATTAACTAAATACTGTATAAATAGAGTCCTCTTTCCTCATTTCAGCAAATTACAAGAGAAAGTGGCAAACATGCTTTCAGTAACCAAACAACGTCACGTGTGTGTGTGTGTGTGTGTGTGTTGTGTGTGTGTGTGTGTGTGTGTGTGTGTGTGTGTGTGTGTGGTGTGTGTGTGTGTGTGTGTGTGTGTGTGTGTGTGTGTGTGTGTGTGTGTGTGTGTGATGCAGGGGGGCGGGGCCTGTGTGTTTGTAGAGTAAGAAACAGGAAGTCAACCACACATCATCTACAGCTTCCTCATGATCTGCCACCAAAACCTCGAATCAAACGCAGCCCTGAAGACCTGAGGGGGGGGGGGACCCAGACCTCAGGGGGTCAACACGTGGTCTGAGGACCTGTGAGGGGACGCCTGAAGGTAAGGGCTCATTCAGGCTTTATTTCAGTGTAATCTTGTTAAATATCAGACAGGATGCTGGTTCCTCCGTCACACTCACGACTAAAAGAAGTGTTACTCACTGAATTCATCCTAAACGCCTTCAAACTTTACATTTCAAAATCTGCTTCCTCAACATTGTTATTTTAACTTCAGGTCACTGTGGCACACATAATCATATGTCAAGATGATTGGAGGTTTCTGGCTCAAATGCACTTTGGGAATTACCTTTCCCTTTAAATGTATACATCCTCAAACTGAAACCTGTGATTCTTTTAAAATATTAAAAGCAAACAAATATTTTGTCCCGCAGATTAAACCTGGAGACTTTAATACTGATTGAAGCTGCTTTACATTTTTAAAGGTGACTCTGAAACATCTCCAGGAACTACAAAGTAAAAATAGCTTTACTGCAACTTGTATTAATGTTCAATGTCCTAAAAAGGCTTGATGATACAATGAAGTTGATACACTTATATATACATATACAAATATATATTTCACAGTAAATCTACCGGCCTCTAAGAAAGCAGATGTGACGCTGTTACAACGTTTCCTGATTCACTACTTCCTGTTGCAGTAAAGTGCTCTGTCTGTGCCCTCCCGCCTGCTGTCTGCATGTCAGCTCCCACACGACACAATCTGCCGATATCTGTTTTTCTTATGTCTGTTTGTTTTAATCTGTGTCTATGTTGTTGTCAGTGACGTATTGTCTTATCTTTTTAAATGCCTTTGTGATGTGCTGCAACCCATTTTCCACTCGGGGACAAATAAACGAAACTACTACTACTACAAATCCAACGCGCGTCAGTTCCTGATGTGTTCCATAAAATGACTTTATCTTTTTCTAATTATAATTTATTCTATGATTACATTTTGTATTAACCTGGCATAAATGTTTTATCCTTTAATCCTGTACCAAAGGAAGTGGTCACAGTGTCAGGCTGGAGCTGGACAATATCATGAAGGAATCATCTTTTTAAAGGAAGAACATGTTTCACCATCGTTCTCCTTCTGCTCATGGCTTTCTTAATATTCTTCCAGGTGAGAACTGTTATCTGGGATCACTAATAGGGTTGACTTATTGTGACATGTTTAACATTAGTCCGATTGGTTTAGGAGACAGGCCCTATGCAGGGACACAGACAAACATGAGGGCCTGACCAATTTGCTGCCCTAGGCAAGATTTTAGCTGGCGCCACATACAGAGCGTTGTCCGGGATTTTTTTACCATGATCCCGGACAGAAAGTCAGAAAAGTCATTATGAAATCCTTATTGCAATTTGGCGGACGATACACCGACTGCGCAGAGTATAGGCGAGGCCGGGTTCAGTTCAAAAAGCTGCAACTCAAAGCTAGCATAGCTAGTTACAGGGTGAAGCAATCGGCATTGGAGGCTAGCTCTAAACACTGATGCTATGCCCCGACAATGGCCGGTGGTACGCGGGGAGCAATGTACAGTCAGGAGGAAGAAGTTCAGAGAACGGTGTATACTCGCAGCGTGGACCCAGGTCTCCATCATAAACATAAATCCAGTTCACGAGAGGTGAAGAAGTCGTTTAGCAGGAACGTTTTGTTTTGTTATCGACCTAACATTTAGCAAAGCCATGCAAAGTTTTCGCTCCGGGCTTGCTGAAGGTGTAGTGCGTCTCAGCTGACGAAGATGTTGCGTGTTGAACGCCGCGCGGGCCGGGAGCAGTCAGTCGGGCAGGAGGAGCTGTCAGCGGGCCCAGCAGAGGCCGCAGCTCCGGAAAAAACAGGGGAATCCACCGAACCCTCACATGGCGTGCAGCGTGGAGGGGCCATGACATCCGAGGCGTGGATAAGTCCCAGAAGAAGCCGTCAGGTATGCCTAAGATGGAACCAGTTGCACCACCACGCTTTCCCCGTGCGTCTAAAGCGCTTTCGGCGAGGCAGGATGCAGGGCAACCGGCGCAGGTAGGCGGGAATCTCCGCGACAGTAGTAGGGGTGGGGGGGCCTACCGATTTATGATTGCCAGATGTAGATTGGGCAGCAATATAAACTCCAGTGAGGGTCTGATGGTGGAGGAGAGCTTTGGCGATCGTAGGACGAGCAGAGCAGAGACATTCTGACAAACATAAACAAAACAGGATAGCCTAAAGGCAGAGAGCTGAGGGAGCGGCGAGCCGACACAGGCGCCATCTTCCCCACCACTGGTCCAGCTGTACGGTCTCTCAAGGGCAACTCAAAGTGCGTCACCAAGCATGTCGTTGTGTCCCTGAGACACTTCACCCCAAATTGCTCCTGTGGGGATTGTCCACAGTATTCAGTATGTTAGTCGCTTTGGATAAAGCGTCTAACAAGTGACATGTAATAATAATAATATTGTTTAATGTATAGATAATATAAAATCCATAAAATTCCAATTTCTGAACTGCAGGAATGAATTGAATTCCAGAAATGTTTTATATTGGCTAAAACTAATGTTTCCTTTTTCAGCTTAACATATGGGACACATTGGTGAGTTATTTTTGGATGTGTATTGTGCATGAGCCATCCACAGTGTATGTTATATGTTTGAGGTGTAATGTGTTGCTGATTAAAAAAAGCATCAGATTTTCTGCTCAAACCAACATTAAAGTGCAGACACACGGAGAACATCAGATCATTTATCTACAATCACAGTCGAGTTGATGGCAATTGCACGAGGCATTACAGGGGTAGAAGAGATGCAAATCCAAAGGATTATTCTTTGTTCAGATTTAAGTTCAGCAATAATGCCACTTCATTACATCTCATCGTAGGCAGGATATTGTGAATGACATTTATGAAACACCATAAAGATGAAGAAATAGAAATATCGAGATAACATTTATGTGGATAACATCATACAGAGGAATGAAGGGAAATGAAAATGTGACACATTAGCCAAGCAGTCTCTTAAACACGAGTAAATAATCAACATTGCACTCAGTAAATCTAAGGCAAATACAGAGTGACAAATAGAACATCATTAACCTCTTAAGCACGGCGGTCCCCCCATTGGACCCCTCCCACCGTTTTGTTTTCGAGGATAATGTCTCAGGGCTTCTTAACATTTATGAAACTATTAATGTGTAGCACCAGATTAACGGGAAGAATCTCAGCTAACTGAAGATATGAACCATTTTTACCAAAACAAAACACAAGTCTCATAAGAAGCGTCTAAATGACCCCTGAGTGAAAAAATTCTAACGCCTGCGCACACAATTCAAGATAAAGATACCCTTATTACTTATCGTAGCTGCACATACAATATAGCTGATTAAAGCTGAGACTCAACTGATTATTTAGGTATAGTATCATCACTGAGCGATCCGAACTTGCGACAGGGGAAGCAAACACAGACATCACAACACGTACCTTTACGGAGCTTTTACGGCAGATCGTCTCACCGTAGCTGTCAATTAGGTCAAAAGACGTGTTCAATGGCATTAAAACGAAAAAAAAAAAAATGCTACCAACTGTTGATCCATAGGTTGATAATGTACCTGTGCCTTTTAAAAAATGATTTATAATCCATAATTCCATTTTTTTATGTAAAAATCGGAGCGGGAAAAGTTAGCTGCTAATGGTAGCCACCAGAGTGTATGCAGCTTCCGGTTTTGGTAACGCGTCACTCTCACTCCTAGTTGTTAAACGTGTTGGTGTGTATATACTTTCCCTCGATTCCCTTGGCTCTAGCGGTTTATAAGAGATTTCATTCATCAAAATCGAGCAAGGGGGGCCAGAGATAGGTCAAATCCACCCAAATGACCCAGAAGTGGGGTTTTTTGGCTAAAATCTCTCTAAAAAGGTCACATTTCACTTGTTTTGCATTCATCTTGATACAGGGTACATATTATATGTTTGTACTTTGGATTCCTAAAGCTTTTAGTCTACTAACCCATCATCCAGGGTAGTTTTCACTATCAGTAAAAAATAATTTTTGGACGGGACACTATAATTTACGTTTTTTACTATGTAAATCTGAATTTTCTTTAAAATAAAAAACATCTATATTGATTCTGGACTTTCTACATCCAACTCACAGGTTTATCATTACTTTGAGAACAAAGATTATTAATTTAACCCTTTTAGAAGGGAAGATATGGTCATTTGTTCTGGAATGTCATTTTGCGAGCCTGAGACCTGAAAAAACAGGCTCAGGGCTTAACAGGTTAAGGAGTCACCATTGACACATTAGCCAGCAGTCTCTTAACACGAGTAAATAATCAACATTGCACTCAGTAAATCTAAGGCAAAATAACAAATATGAAAAATAGAACATCATTAAGGAGTGGCAACACAATTGGGACAAAAGAAACACAAGAAGACACCTATATGCACTGCAGCCAAAAATCAGTCAGGACACTTAAAAGAACCATCAATTTGGATAATGTGTTATCAAGGCTTATATTAGGACATACTAGAGTGAACAAAACATGACATTATTCATAAGAAAAACATCTTTCTGGATGATATGAACACTGCCAGGTTGAGGAATCCGTAGATAGAACATGTAATTCCTGCAGTTTGCCAAACACAATCAAGAAAGAGAAACTTTGAAGACAGAAATCAGGAAGCCTGGAATGGAGCAAACATTACACAACAACATCTCTTATCAACCCCCCCTTAACAAATATTCATAGATTTGCTGCATTTTGTTTGACGTATCTACGTAAACTTCTCTCTGTCTCCAACCCCTTCAAGTTTCAGCCTAAAATGAGCTCCACCATCTCTACCCAAAGCTCCTACTGAACCTCCCACAAGTCCGCAGGCAATATGCAATTTCCACCATTGTCCCCTAAGGATGCCTCTGAGGAACGCCATGCTACTAGAATCTGTTGCTTGGCCTGAAACTCCTGCATTGCCATCTCCTCTTTCCCTGGAGCTGACCAGTGATCCAGCTCACAGCTCTTTCACCATTCTCCCAGCGGAGAGGAGGAGGACAGTGGCACGTAGGGGATCAGCTGGAAGTTAGCATCAGCTCTCTGACTTCAAGGGACAACCCAAGAAGTCTGGGGGGACTTTTATTTGCCACGGCTGCACAACCTAAGGCTTGGTGCAGGTGTTAGCTGGGAAAGTGGTGGACCATCTCAATGGGAGCTACTCTGCTGTCTTTCCTTTACTCTGGGAAGGAGCAAGCTCAGGTTGAGGTGATGCTTAAAACTATATTTTTCTATGTGATTTTGCTGTAGGCGTGTCATTTGTCTTCCAACTGATTACTCACAAAGCCCCCACCCCCTTTTAACTAATGTTGATAAGACTTTTTATTTCAGACAAAAACTCTTGTTTTTCTATCCAATCAGGTGACGCTAGTTTCATCCCAGTGAAGCTATCACAGTGCTGAACAGGTTGACGAGTGAGGCAACCTGACAGGGTATTTTTCAATAAGCCTCTTTCGCTCAGGCTCACACTCTGAAACCACCATCTGTACATCTGCCTGCGTCAAACCAAGGCAGCCAATCTGCGACTTCACCGACCCTCGAACCGGCGATTCCTTGGTTCTGCTACAAGCCAAAGAACATGAGCTGTGATGCAAGGATCGCCCACAGCACTGTAGGATACAAACAAACGCTCAAGGCCAAGGAGGATGAGCTCTTTCAAGGGTAAGGAAGCAAAGAGACTGGTCATTGTGTGACTTCTTATAAATACATACCATCATGTGTTACCTATTTATCTCCTTGCCTTGAAGTTTCAGAAGTTGTCAGTACAGGCAGTTTAGATTAAAAGTAGGGGTGTAATGGTTCACAAACATTGCGGTTGGTACGTACCTCGGTTTTTAGGTCACGGTTCGGTACAGCAGAAAAAAGGATCACAAAACATAAACAATTTTTTGGGGGGTTTTTAATTATTATTAAACTGTGAATAATGTATTCACTCAAATAAATACAAAATATAATAAAATAAACATTAAGGTGCAGCATTTCGATGAACTTAAATCATCTGTATTTGAACTTTACTGTACTAGTACTCACAAAACATAAAATATTGTTTTGGGTTTTTAATTATTATTAACCTCTTCTACACCGCACCCCCGATACCGGGGGGAAAAACGCGTCATCTGCAGGAAACAGCGTCTGAGGGCATCTTAATATTCAATAAACTATGAATGTTTTATATCCATGTAACGGAAGAAACTCAGCTAACTGACCTTTTTTTTTTTTTTTGTTTTTTTTAAAACCCCACAAAGCTAGCGTTGAGCCTATGAATTAGCCACGAGCGAAAAATGCTAACGGAGTGTTGCACAGAAACTCAACTCATAAACACCCTTATTTACTTTTCGTAGCTGCACGTCCAACCCATCGATCTGATCGTGAGATGACACAGAATCGATGGGTATATACATCATCACTCCATGATAAGAACTCGCAAAGCTATTAACAAGAACAGACATCAAAACATGTGGCGCTAGGTAGCCTAAAACAGCAAAATGGCTCACCTTGGTCGTTGTCTGGTCAAAACTGGTCTTCAATGGCATTACAACGATAAAAACGCTGCTGAAAGTTAATCCTTAGGTTAATCCAATGTGTCTGTGTCCCTTTTAAATGATTTCTGATAATCCATTAAGCAATAAACCTGCTTTTCCGTTTCCAGATGTCAAGAGCGAGAGATAGGTCCACTCTGATGCAAACCTGCATGCGCAAAGCCCCCACCTTTTTTTCTTTTAACCATGTGTGTGTATGGGGAAATTCCCCTTAGAATTCTATTGGCTCTAACGGTCAAAAAGAGATGTCAATCACCAAAATCGACTAATGGGTTCCAGAGAAACGGTAATAACCCCCATTTCCATCCCAAATCACCTCAGAGGTGGAGTTTTCTTTGCTAAACCTCCTCTAAAAAGGTTAAAATGTCACTTGTTTTGCATCAATCTTGATACAAAGTAACTTATTATATGTTGTACTGTGGATTCCTAAAGCTTTTAGTCTACTAACCCATCATCCAAGGGTAGTTTTCACTATAAGTAAAAATAATTTTTCAAAGTATGCCTCTCGTCCAATGAAACGACTTGGTCGCTCTATGACGCGTTGAACCCAATGTGAGCAAATGACACTGAACGCGGCGACGCAGCACCTGAGATTACTTCCAAAAAGTTGTTCACGTTCTCAATTTTTTACGTTTAACGTTATATTCGTTTGGTACGTGTACCGAACCGAAGGGACCATACCGAATATTTTCGGTACGAATACGTATACCGTTACACCCCCTGATAAAAGATAAGATAAATGTAACCACTCAGTCTGAATTATAGTTGACCTTCATGTTTGATAGGATATAAATCTGGATTTCTTGTTTCAATTTGATAATGTGTTTATCTGTACACATAACATCTACACATGTCTGTACCTCCTCGGAGAAGTAACCTTTCTCTCATTCTCCCCTAGGTTCTTCTATTTGTTTCCTTTAATCCTCAATTGGTGCCGTTTTTGGGGGAATTTTTCCTTGTAGCGCTGCGAGTGTGTTGGGTGACGACATAGGGCGTTGTGTGCTCCGAATACACTCTGTAAGCAAATGAGACAAATGTGTGATATTTTGATTATTTTATCAATTCATAGTATTTATAGACAGCTTTGGTCAAATACCCAAATTATGCGTAAGGCTTAGTTCTAAGGTGTGAACCTTCCAAGTTCACACAAGGAAAATGTATGGTGGCAAAAGCTGCAGCAAAAGACCCCTTATATCACTATAATGAAGATAAGATACAGCATGAAAAGTAGACCTTCTAAACTGTTTACCCCAGGTAACCTCCATGCCATTCCACAACCATGTAGAAAAGCTGCATTTGGGATATTAATGTTTATTGTAGTATTGTGTGTGTGCTTTTCTTCAGTCGTGTCAACTTGAAAGTCATGCATTCCGGCTTCAGGACCTGCCGGTGTCACTGTTTTAAAACAAACCAAAAAAGGAAGGTAAGGAATGCATTTATCACTGAATTCACTGAATCTAATGGGCTCCATGTACAGATGATGAAAGTGTAGGGGCAGAAAAAAACAACACTCTTTCTTTTGGGTATCATTCTTCTGTTGAGAGATGTATTTAGCAGGCCAATTTGACAGGAGCAAAGGGAGCATGGAGCTCTCAGCTCAACTTTGTCAACCACGGCACAGCTGTTGGCAGTGTCTCTCAGGAAGTAAGGCCATAAAATGTTCATACATTCAGTCTATACCTTGATTTGGTTAAGGTCAGTAAACAAACGTAAAACAAGCCCCCTTATTATCCTTCAACTTTCTCTCAGGTCAACCAGAGGTGGAGAGCAGCATTGTGAACTTTCAAGCCTCTGGCTATTACTACCAGGGTTTATGGCGAGCACTAGATGGCACTCAAAGTTTCGCCAATTCACCGGCGCATCGCCATCACTCAGTGTCTAAAAAGGCAAAGTGGTCCACCCTGTTGGAGACTCTACCATCAGGACAGTGGTTATTGAGTTCCTCAACGCAGCACTCTACCAGGTAACTAATCCACAGGGATTTCGGCAACAGTTTCATTATTTTCACACTGCATCTAATTCTGTTTCCTCTGTAATACCTTTAGATCTTAAGGAGTTTAACCTGGGCAGCTCGAGGCAAAATGGACCTTTCCTGGCCTTAGACTATGAAAACAAATCATGGTGACTTTCCGCCTCCATGGTCCTCCTCTCCGTTTTATTGGCTCAAATGAAGAAATTCGTTACATAGCCAATGAACTAGATGACTTAATCGGGGCCTCCCAACACTGTTGTCGTTTTTGGCATCTGGGCTCACTTTGGTTCTTTCCCCATCGAGGTGTACATCCGGCGGGCTACAAAGGATCCGCAGTGCGGTGGTACGGCTGTTGGACAGGGCTCCAAAAACGGTGATCATCATCAGGACTGCAAACCCCAAAGCTTTGTGGCTGGATGTGGTGATAAACAACAGTGACTGGTTCTCGGTTGCAGTGTGATAAGGTGCTAAGAGCCATATTTAAAGGACTGAATGTTCATCTGATTGATGCCTGGGAGATGGTCCTTGCTCACCACCTGCCAAACAGCCTCCACCCACAACCTCCTATTATTAAGAATATGATGGATGTTCTCTTCTCCTACACATGTCCTCAAAGGCAGATAGATAATAATAATAATACATTTCATTTATCAAGCAATTCAACAATTACGCCAATTGTAGTGTATATTATATTCTTTGCAAGCTCTTGCCAATCCGCGGGCCTTGAGTTGACACCCCTGGTCTAAACAATAGATTGATGTTTTCAAATGTTTTTTTAATAAATGAAGCTCAGCGCAAGTTCTTTCAGGAAGGCTGGGTTATATATATACATTCACTCATCAGCTCATCAACAGCGTTCTCTTTAACCTATTACATTTCACCTCATTCTCCATCAGCAATCACTGTGCTGCAGCCAAACTTTTAAAATAGTTATCCTCTCTCCTGCAGTCAGCTGTGACTTCAGGTTTTCATGCCGCCCCGCCTCCTCCACACTCCACCTCCTTTCAGAATCAAAATCGGAATACCTTTGTTAGTCCCACAAAGGGGAATTTGAGTAGTTACAGCAGAAAAAGAGCCAGAGACAGCCTTAATGTTACATATGTTACATATTTTACATGCACCTGTTGAGCCCCACGGACCCGCCAAAGGGGCCGAAACCCACAAACATCTGCAAGCAAACAGTGTCTGAGGGCTTCTTAAGATTTAATAAACTATGAATGTTTCATATCCATGTCACGGAAGAAACTCAGCTAACTGATGATATGAACCATTTTTAGCA